TTCCAATGTTTGGTAGCTGTGCCAGGGACTTTGTTTACATAAATGGTTCACTGTGATGTGGATCATTTAGAACTGTTTTAAATTTCATGGACATAGTTAGCTACAGTAAAATGTACTGTACTGTATATACCTGTCATTTAAGTTTTAAAATGAAATAAAATTTTATTTTGTACAGTATTTTTAGTGTGTGTGACATTGAGAGAAAAACTGGAATTGGTTGTTGGTGGTACAGCGGTAACGCGCATAACTCACCAATATGTCAGGGGTTCAAGTCTCTCAGGTTTCCCGGTCCCTGGTTTCCTCCTGTTCTGACACTGGATAGACCAACCATCCGAATGGCTAGTAAGATGATAAGTGACAAAAATTAGAAAATTATGGAACATAACTGATGAAATCATGAACAGTTATGCCAAACAATTGCTTCAACTTTTGCTTACTTTTACCTTTATCCTCTTTGCCACTGATTGGCTCTTTACTGCATGAAAAGTTAGTCAAATATATGTTACACACTGTTGGCAAGTACTGGCTCCAGAATGTATCTGTACTTCCACCAATGTTGGACAAGTCTGCTCTTGGAAGAGCTCATACTCAGTAGTGTCACAACACTGGCAGATTTTCCCAAGAGTTTACAATTCTCACTCCAAAAAAAGTTTGCCCTCACAATTTTCTGTACTTGCAGCTCCCAGTGTTTGCACACTTCAATTACGTCACCCCGTACACAAACAACATGAACAGTAATGGGCCTCTACTTGGTTTATAGCTGTTCAAGACAGCTTTTCATCATAAAACCATTATTTTCATCAACAACGTTTTAAACCTATGTTCCATGCTTGCATAGGTTAGCCATCAGTTACCTGAAGGAAGTTTTCCATGCTGCACTGTCCCTTGCAGCCTAAGTTGAGCGAAAATAAAGGAAAGTTTTATTTAGCGAAAAGTTCGATTTAACAGAAAGAGGTGGCTCGAATTAGTTCGTTAAATCGAGAAAATACTGTACAGTATAGTTTGAGGATGTGACATACAAACGGAAATAATGAATAATGTACTTATGTATTTTTAATAAGATATAAATGTAAATATTAGATCTTATACTATTATATTTAATATACTTATATTTATGAAAAAATGCAAATAAAAAATAATGATGAACCATCCAACTTTTTGCAATTTATAAATCTATTAATTCTAAATTCCATTAATTTTCACTACAGTGACAATGTATAATTTTTTTCCATACATTTCGAGAGAAAGGCCCAAGCAATACTTTCATTGGGTAGCAAAGTTCTACTATACAAAAGTATCGATCCATCATCGCGATACTCTCCATCTCTGTGTGTTAGAGGTGTATGAAGTGTTAGAGGGGTGTGTGGAGTGTTAGGAAGTGTGGAGGTTAGAGGGTGTGTTAAGTGTGTGTAGAGGGGTGGATAGAGAGTGTGGAGTGTTAGAGGGGTGTGCAGAGTGTTTGAGGTGTGTGTGTGCTGTGTTAACAGGGCTGGATTCAGGAGTGGGCAAAGTGGGCAGGGGCCTCCACAATCTGGGGGGCCTCCACATATTACAATATTTTATTTATTTCTTTATTCATTTGGATTATTTTTATTTTCATTCTTTAAAATTCATGTTTATCTATTCCATCACGTAAAACTATGTTCAGCAAGAAGCGTGATAGCAATTAGGCTAACTACTCCTTGAAATTCATGAATACCTGGTTTCCTATGAACCGTATAATTTTAATATTTTTAATATAACTGCATTATTTCAAAATTCTCCAAGAAGTGTTCAAATTTCAAAATTTCCAGGCTTAGTGCCCCCAGAACTCCCAGATGTTTGAGGCTTGCTTCACTCGCCACCCCACCCTCTTGAGTGGTTATAATGAGGCCTCCACAAAGGTTGCCCATGAGCCTCCAGAGTCTAAATCCACTTGTGCAGATATCAAATTTTGATCAAGATCATTCAACAGTTAGTGCTTATACTGAGATTTTGGACAAATCTATTTTTGGCCAAAAATCTGTAAGGCATAAGACTTACAATTTTGTCATTTTTGGCCAAAAAACTAGATTTTGTTCAAAATCTCAGTATAAGGTACTCCTGAACCTGCTGATTGAGGTTTGTTTAGTCTCTTAATTTACTTTAATATCCAGGTTCTATGACAAACAAAAAATAAATTAAAGGGAATAAAAATAAATAAAGTAAACCTGTAAAATTTAATTAAATTAAATATTAACACAATAAAGAGCCTCAAGAGTTGTCACAACAAATTGATTCACTTCTCAAACATCAAGACACAAGTGATACAAACATCTAAACATCAAAAAATAAAAATAAAGCATTGGATTACGTTAACACTGCATAAACATATAAAAACTAACACTGAAATTAACTGCGTGAAACAACACTGAATTATATGTAACTAAGCAAGCACTGATGGGCACATAGGCATAAATAGGTATAGCATAGATATACCACATTGGTGGTGACAGGAACAATCACAGTAATAAAATGAAGTATAAGTAACAGGTGACAAGTGTCACTCAAAAGAACGTGAACTGAATGACAAGGAGACTGGACTGAACTCCGTCAGTTGGTGGACCACTATATATAGGGCCAATACCCTACTGTGAAACATGGGTCGTTTAATGATGCAGATGGTCGTTAGAGAGACAAAGAATGCTTATTACAATACTAAATGAAGAAATAAGATGGACTTGAACAATTAATAACAGTTAAAACCTTAACAGCACAGGGTAAGGTGACTAGATTATATAATAGTAAATATAACACATCATTCCAGGAATAATATGAACAACATGGAAGCATGTTATATAAAAAAAATAGAAAAATACGACACGGTCATAACAGGATCTGTTGACTGAAATTTGATCTCTGCATTATTTCTTATTCAAATGACTTGCAAGCAAATGTAATTTTCTAAAAGCCATTTGAACAAGTAATACAGATATCAATCAACAGATCCTTAATCAGCATGTTCAGGAGTACCTATACAGATTTTTGAACAAATCTATTTTTAGCCAAAATCCTGTAAGGCATAATGACTTTACAATTTTTGTCATTTGTGCAAAAAATAGATTTTGTTCAAAATCTCTTATCTTTAAATTTCTCAATTGACCAAAATTGATATCTGGATTATTACTTATTCAAATGACTTGCAAATTATTACAATTTTCTAAAAGCCATTTGAACAATAATATCCAGATATCAAATTTTGTCAACAGATCCTTATCCAAGTATGTTCAGGTACCTTTGAGATTTTGAGCAAAATCAATTTTTGGCCAAAATCCTGTAAGGCATAAGACTACAATTTTGTCATTTTCAGAAAAATACATTTTGTTCAAAATCTCAGTATAAGTACTCTTGAACATGCAAGTCTGTTAACTAATTTGATATCTGCATTATTACTTATTCAAATGACGCAAACTTAATTACAATTTTCTAAAAGCCATTTGAACTAGTAATAATCCAGATATCAAATTTTAGTCAACAGATCTTTACAGCATGAGTACCTATACTGAGATTTTGAACAAAATCTATTTTTGGCAAAAATAACAAAATTGTAAGTCTTATTATGCTACAGGATTTTGGCCAAAATGATTTCAAAATCTCAGTATAGGTACTCCTGAACATGCTGATAGTGTTGACCAAAATTTGATTTATAATATTGGAATTAGTTAATTTTACCGCCACACCACCCCGTTAAGTACTGTACTGCGGTGTCCCTCAGGACTCATTTAGTTTAAAACTCGGGTTGAAACATGCCGACCCTCTTCAAGGGAAGATGTTGTTTAATAATACGGGCGTTAAAGATGATTATCATAAGGCCAAAAACATAAATATAGACATATATGTTCATGGGAGGGGAAGGAGGGGGTGGTGGGTGTGGATGGTGCGAAGTACTGGTGGAGCGGGATGGGATTGCGTGTGATGTTAGGTATTAATGGTTTTTTACGAATTAATTAATAAAACATGAACAATATTTTATCATGATTGACAGCCGTTTCATGAAAAGTAGTGACGATTGTAGTATAACAAGTGTAAAGTGCAGTGCATGGGTGAGTAAGAGGGAGGCAGGAAGGAGGCAGTGTATATCATAAATCTCTGCTCTGGCTGAAGCTAGTCCATTTCTGCCTCACTGAAATTATGATTTAGGTGGTGATAATAGAAGTAGTGGTGATGGTGGTGAAGGAGATTGTGTTAAGTGGTGAGGTGGTGCTGCATCTATCAGTTTCTTTGGTAACACTGCAGCACTACCAGATGCTATTGAACAGCTGATATCTACCCACAAAATTGACTCTAGCTACAATATGAATGAGCAATGTTGTATCCCTTTAACATTTGTACATAACATTGAGGAAAGGGGTTTTGGCAAGCACTTCTTGACAGTTGTTTAACCCACCACCACAGTCACACACTTGTGCATCAGTTAACCACAAACAAATTTATCTGTGTGGGTGGTGCTGGAGTGTATGTTTGTGGGGGGGGTGATTTTGGGGGGTGTGTGGGTGATGTGGTGTTGGAGGGTGTGTGTGTGTATGATGATGATGGGGTGTGTGGGTGGTGTTGGAGGTGTGCGGAATGTTGAGGTGTGTAGTGTTGGATGGTGAGTGTGTGATGTTGGGATGTGTGGGTGTGTGGTGTTGGATGGTGGGTGTGTGGTGTTGGGATGTGTGGGTGGTGGTGAAGTGACTCACTGTGGGTGCTGGCAGTTGGTTAGTGTTATTTATCAATTCGTATTTTCAGGCAGATGTACATTATTTATTATTATTATTATTTTTTTACTCTTGTTACATGCACACAATCTTCTAACAATATGTAAAAAAAAAAAAATAAAATAAAAAAAATAATTATTATACAGTAGAGTAAAAAATATGAAGACATATTATGGCCGCTGGCTGGAGTCGCCCGGACTGTGTGAGGTGGGAGCGGTGTTGGAGATTTTGGCGGCTCCTGTCTCTCACACACAGTGAAACTATTGCCAACTGGCAACGTGATTTTTTTTACAAGTATAATTTTTATTTATTCCTCACATTTACTGGCACTACAGTACAGTGTATACAAGTACATGTGACCCTGGTCCTTAATAGCCTTGGATAATGAGTAGTATATATTGAAAAATACTGTATGTGATGAAAGTTGCCGGCTGGGAATGCATCCCCCTTCCCTATTTACATTAATTCTCTTGGGGAAAAATTTCCCCGATATTCAGTTTCATTACTCGCATTGACTTTTAGGAATGCATCCCTTGTGATAACCAGGGTATTCCTGTATCAGATAAAAAGTAATAGGGTCAGCTAATCTTCTAAATAAAGTCAGGTCACAAGAAACTTTATTTTTTGTTGTGTTTGGCTACAAAGAAAAGATTTTATATGGGAAGCATGCTTATTTTTTTAATTGCTAAATACTCCAAATTTGCATAAAAATAAAACAAATATGTTTTATATTTCCAAATGAAATTTTTATATCTATCCTAAACATTATAACTTAGACAATAATTATGTTAAGTTGAGTAGAGTCTAGAAAGTCCTACCAGAGCCATAATACCTTATTAACAATAATCTAGGCAGTTCAAAGTGTATTTTAGGGCAATATTTTAGGATCCAGGAACATAACCCCATTTTCACTAACGGTGCCATTTAAAGTTTGAATTACATGACATCACAATCAGTGGGAACATTACCCTGCAGACTGGGTAAGAACATCTTGTTATGGACATTAATTCCCTTCAAGTTGCTTTCTGAAAAGTCTTGACATTGTCAAGAGTGTTTCTGTAATTAGAGAGTCAATAAAATAGATGGTGAACATTGTGCCCTGCATTTCTTATTCCTATACTGTATACTGTAATATGTAAAAATAAAAATAAATTACAAATCTTAAATCTAGACTACTTAGGAAACCCTATCGACATCCAAAACTTATGCTTTACCAGTGATAACTAAATGATTTTCATTCCATAAACTACTTCATACAACCTAAGAGTACAATATACTCCATTATTTCTAAGACTTCAAATGTTCAAATTATTACCGACTACAGTGTAGACAACTTATTATTATCCTTCTGTTCATTCCTAGCAGATACATTGTTTCACAAACATTATTCTAAAGTTGCATGTGTGCCGTTGACATCCGTCAAACTCAAATCTGGAAAATAAAAGACTGGTTGTTATTTTAAATTTCACCATTTGTGATGTTCATTAGGTAGAGTAGATAAAACATAAAATAAAGTGGCTTTGAGTTACAGAGGCAATGCAAACATTCCACAAGTAATTCCACTGTCAACTATGTATTACACAAGAACAATTGAGTGCTTCAACTGTTACGACCATGCACCACTGTCACAAACCTAAGATAATAAATAATACATTGCTCTTCACACATCCTGAACCAGCCATACAACCTTTGGATAGTAGTAGGTAGTAGGCAGCTATCAAACAGGGAGGTACTACCACTTGGGAAGATATTGGAAGCATAATGTGTTGTCTAATGGTAGACCCTACTGCCATATAACATCACAAAAATTATGACCAAGTCCCGGGATGCTGATCTGACTTTCTGCCTCATTTACACATAAATGCAGGGTACCAATTGTTTCTCTTACTTTGCAACACAACATACATATCTTTTCTCACTCTTGATCTGTTTTATATTTTCCATTTCTGTATTCACTTTTGGCATCAGTTGACAATGCTGTATTATTATAGCGGTAACTTCTCAGATGGGTCCCACTGGTCGGGAAGGTTGTGGACCCTAGGGCCAACCCAAAACCATCATCAAACTACTGGAGTATCAACCGACGTCACCACAGCTGCTGGAGGATCGGCTTTTTTCACACTTCATTTTTCCAACCTTCGCGGCCTGAGATAAAATTTTTCTTCTGTGGAGCACCATCTGTTAACCTTTTCTCCAGATCTTTTACTTCAACTATCCAAACTTCAACTGTCCAAGGCAGTTTCACCTAAACCTTTTCAAGTCACTAACTACAACCTCTATACCTCTTTCCATTCTAAAGGAAGTGTATGCATCTACTGCAATACATGTACACCTATAGCTCGACTCATGGATCTTGATTCTTCTCTTTATGATGTCAACTGGCTCAAAATATCTCTACCAACTATGACTATTTTTCTTTGTTTCCTATACTGTACTGTTCTCCCAACTATTTGGGACTCTTTGACTATCCACCGTATTTGTGTGGATGTCAGGCACACTATATTAACACATTATAGTACATCCTTCTTCCTCACACAGCCAAACTGTAGAATGACTTGTCTTCCTCTGTGTTTCCATCCTCTTACAATGTCTCGCTTCAAAAAGCTGGTTTTCCAGCATCTTCGTGGAGTATATTAACATATTCTTTTTCTCTTCTAATCCCCCACCCTCCAGATGCCCTGCTGTGGGTCAAAGACATGTGCGCGGGTGGGCTATTCTCCATAAAGAAAAAAAAATGTGGGCATACATTAATTATGTATGTTACCTCCAAATTACATGCTATCCACACAATAATATTAAATTCCATGGTATTTATAGAAAGCTACCATAATATTACACCAAGTGCAGCTGTATGGTGCAGCATAAGCCAACCTAAAGGGTAGGAAATAATGACCAACCTAAATTATGATGTGACAATCTCTCTCACATAATTGATGACAAACTAAAATCTTTCTTTACATAGCTTTTTGCAGTCCCTTTAATGAAAAAAAATGAAAAAAGTTACAGCTCTAGGAATCCAAGAAAGATTCTTGTTTAACCCTTAGCCGGCGGCAGCAGTAACTGAAGACGCACCAAATTTAATAATCGTCATTATATAGATGCCGCCGACCACTGGAGTGGAACATAAATAAAGTTACACCGCATTTTGTGAAATTTTAACACCATCTATATATAGACTCTACCGCAATATGGAACAGTTGCTATATTTCATTAACATAGCAAAGATGCTTTTAATATTAAAACGTGAATTTTGTAAGTGGCTATTATTTATATTCGTATAAGTAAGGTACATGGAGTCACTCACACCCACAGCCAAAGCTGTGTCCAGGATTTGTGACCTGGATGTGGTTTCCCTCCACCCTCCCTTCCTATATTGTTGCCTTACTGTTGCTTTTTATGGCATTTGTTCATTCACTGCTGTCACTTTCCTACGTTGGAAGGCTTTCTGATGTGTGGTAAAACTTAAAACATGGAGTAATACACAGTGCAACTTGACAAACATCACAGCTGCAGATACTTCTCCTCACTTTCTTTTGCATTGCACAGTAAGTACATCTCCTTTGAACCTTCTTTGTACTACAACCTTCAGCTGACTCTGTCTCTATTGGGAAATGTCTTCCACTCAGTCTTGTAGGGCATGGCCCAAGAGTCACTGAGCTTGTGGGTTTCTTTATCCAATAAACGTCTTTGCTATATGCAGACACAATCTGTTCAATCAAGAGCAAATTGAAGTCAAGGAGGTTTTTCTGGACTCCATTTCTCTTGTAGATTACATGGCAGTTATGCAAACTCATTTCTATCAGCCTGAAAAATAGCTTCTTGTAGTACTTTGTAATACCCTTGGGCTCCTTCTCTTTTCTTCACAGACCTTGGCAGCATATTTGTTTGTCTCTCACTGTATGTTCCATTATGTCTACAAAAGACAGAAAAATCTCTATTGGGTTCTGAGGATCTTGCAAAACTACTTTGACTCCCGTGTCTCCAGTAAATGGAAATCGTTCTCTACTAACTGGAGAATTGCTCAACGTAGCACTGTCATCTTGACCAACTTCTGCACCTGACAGAATATCATCTGGTTCCTCTGTAATAATCTCACGTTGTGATTCATCACCACTATCAGTGTCATCACCACCACTATCTGATTTTCCATCATCACGAATATCATCCATGAATTCATAATCAAAATCATGGTGTAGAATATACTGTATTTCCTCATCAGGAATGTTCCTCCTACGGAACATAATTATGGCTATAATTTCTATATACAGGCAAAGAAAAGAATGAATGGAAATTCAGCTCCACACATGAGACCAAAGAGAGTGCTCTGTACCATATGAAAGCTGGCAACAGACTTTCAGTGATTGGAGCTTTAGGCGGCTGGCGCCGGCGATCAGGCAAGCCATCGCCACCCTTGAGTTGCTAGTTAGGGATTTCTGAGGCTCTAGGGCACTCATACATATCCGACTATATATAGTCTCAGCTGGGACATACAGGAGCTGAATTTTGGAGAAGCGTCTATATATAGTCTCACCGCAATTTTTCAGCACATTCCAGACCATCTATATATAGTTCGGCCGCCGGCTAAGGGTTAAGACTGAGCTGGGATGGTGGTGGTCAAACACATCATGCCAAAAACACTAAAAAGAACATCTTAGGTTAGTCTCCTTCTTCTTACCTGTGTCACTTCATTTACACACAATGGAATACATTTTATGACACCACAACAATTTAGCACTTTAGTTGATATTTTAATGGTCAAGCCTACTTATTTCATTTATTATTCCATTTAATTTAAACCTCAGTTAAGTGACTTTTGTTACTGTACTAACTTTTACTGTTCTTTCACTAACAACTGATATATTCCTTACTTTTTAATCTCTTCCAATGACCCCAAGAAAGAAATCTCTTCAGCCTTCCATCAACTTTTTCTTAAACGGTGGTTCAGAATTGGAATCTTCTGAGATGTTGAACTGAGTGGATGAGAAGTCTGTAGCATCTTGTGAGTCGCTCATCATCGACATGGCTGAGAATAAATATAAATGATAAAAAAGCATGTTCTACTGTCCACACCATTTACTAATAAGTGGAATAGATACAGACATGACATTGCATAATCGCACTGTGTACTGACAAAATTTTCGTTTGTAATTCCCTTTAAAATGGCTGGCAAGCGTAAAAGTGAGAGTTCTCGTGGTGCTGAGAAGAAAAAGAGACACCCATTTTAGAATTTCTATACAGTTTTACCCCGCCTAACGCGGTTTCACTTAACGCGTTTTCGCATATACGCGGTGCCTTGCCAAAGCTGAACTTTCACTTAACGCGGATTTTTTCCACATATACGCGGTGAGTGTCCGAGACGCTATTTTTAGATTTGCCCCACCCGCCACCCTGCCTGACTGCCTGTTTTAGCTCATAAAATTCATACAAATTACCAGGCCAGAATATAATTTACATTGCTGGAATTCTTATAATTTGGTGATCATTTTGAATATAAACATCATATATTTTGCTTTAAACTTACAATTTTTAGATAAAAATTTTTCTCTAGGTAACTATGGTATCTTTTGTGCAAAATATATGACATTTATATTCAAAATATTCCTGGTCTTACAAGGAATCCAGCAATGTCAATTATATTATCCTAACTTTAGTTTGAGGTATTATTTATTAAAATTTAGTGGTTATCCCACACATCTCCTTGGGACGGTTGGTGGGGGGTGGGGGGGAGGGAGGGACCGACCGACCATCTGTTACCCTGTGAAGAATTATTATTTTTTTTTATTAACTGAAGATATTTGTTTTAGCTCATAAAATTCATACAAATTACCCGGTCAGAATATAATTTACATTGCTGGAATTCTTATAATTTGGTGATCATTTTGAATATAAACATCATAGATTTTGCTTTAAACTTACAATTTTTAGATAAAAATTTTTCTCTAGGTAACTATGGTATCTTTTGTGCAAAATATATGACATTTATATTCAAAATATTCCTGGTCTTACAAGGAATCCAGCAATGTCAATTATATTATCCTAACTTTAATCTGAGGTATTATTTAATACTAAATGTTAAAAACTCTGGAAGGGAGGATTGGTGGGGGGTGGGGGGGAGGGTTGGGACTGACCGCGCGGTTGGAAGAGGGGGGGAGGCAAGGTGGGGTACTTTGATTGACAGATAGTGTCGTGAAGATTATTTTTTTTTTATTAACTGAAGATATTTGTTTTAGCTCATAAAATTCATACAAATTACCCGGTCAGAATATAATTTACATTGCTGGAATTCTTATAATTTGGTGATCATTTTGAATATAAACATCATATATTTTGCTTTAAACTTACAATTTTTAGATAAAAATTTTTTCTCTAGGTAACTATGTTATCTTTTGTGCAAAATATATGACATTTATATTCAAAATATTCCTGGTCTTACAAGGAATCCAGCAATGTCAATTATATTTTCCTAACTTTAGTTTGAGGTTATCCCACACATCTCCTTGGGACGGTTGGTGGGGGGTGGGGGGGGGAGGGAGGGACCGACCGACCATCTGTTAGCCGGCTGTGTAGTGTGAGAGGGGAGGGAGTCGAGTCCATTATTTGAATGGACATTAACTTGGCGACTGTATTTCTCTATTTCTCTTAAGTATTAATTGTGTGCATGTACCATCATAAAATTAAGATGTTATTTTTACTACAACATAGGTATGTGCCTTCAAAAAGTGGAGTTTGGGGGTCGGGCCGGTTTCTATTGGAATTAATCCCATATGTTCTGTTGTTCACTTAAGCGGGACCCTCTGGGTTCAATTGACGCTAAGTGAAGTATTATTTTTGCCTTTTCGACTTACAACCAATTCGACTTACAACCTGGTCGTCGGGACGGAACCCTGTCGTAAGTCGAGGAAAGACTGTATAATGATTGGCACACCTATTTTTATAATGTATCAGTATTGTAATGAATAAATAAAATAAATAGCAAAAGTGGCAACAGCGGTCAGGGTAGAGATTACCGTCTGATTTGGATTGTCCTTTTATTTTGAAGTCAAATTACAAATTATATATAATATTCTTCTACTATTTAATATTTTTTTATTATTAATGATTAATCATGCACCATAAGAGGCTGATTATACGGTAATATAATAATGAATAAATAAAAATTAACTGGTGAACGTGGCACGACCAGTTCCACCCCTCACCACCCTGCTTTACGGAGGGAGGGGATTAGTGGTCAGGGAAGATATTACCTTTTGATTCGGCTTTTTCTTTTATTTGAAGTCAAATTGTATATTGTTCCATTATTTAATACTGAATGCTATATTATTCATGATAAAACATACACCACAATTGGCTGATCATAAGAGAATATTATAATGAATAAATAAAATCAAACTGGTGAACATGGCTCAATTACATATGATGTGTCATCTCTTGTACATATTAGTTCTAATTAGGCCTATATCAAATCTGATTAGACCACTGTACAGTACCCCTATTAAAGGTAATACCGTATATATTTTAATAAATAAGGTAATATATTTTATATGTGAAAAATTAATGAGCTGTATTGCAGTATATTACTTACAGTACAGTAGGCACTTATAATGGCCAATAACTAAAATGACTAAAATCGCAAAATTTGGGGCTACATAAGCAAAAGATCACAATTAACACTACCACTATCCATAACTTTCTGCATAAGCTACAACTATGGTCATATTTCAACAAATCACATAAGCAATAACCACACACACAAGACCCACATAAAATGAGACCACACTGTACCTCCTATGCACTATGAATGGCTATTGATATTGTGATGTTATCAACTCCCATACCCCCTCCCCCTCTCTCACACAGTTCCTAGATTGGTGAGTGTCTGGCTACCACAGGTCTCACATTCTGAGGTTTAACTTGTGGCCAGGTGTCTTATGCGGAATATTCCCCGACTGTACATTATTAAACAATCTGAGCTACTCGATAAAACATTACCCCCTTACACAGGTTCTAAATATCATACTCAGTAAATTGTAGCAAAAAGAAATTTATAAGTACAATATCTGAGAGCCAGCCATTCAGAAGTAATGAAGTCTGGATGAAGCCACCCTTCTTGTTTGAGAGAATCAATCATATAAAAAAGGAAATGAATTTTTAGTCACCTGTATTGGAGTCATCTCCTCCCATCTGGAATGCTGACATGCTGCTGTCTCGGCTACACATACGGTTTTCTTTGTTTGCACTACTTCCACTCTTCTTCTTTCGTTCCTGAGAGACATGAGGTAGTATCATAGTGTATGTACAGTACAGTAATTCCACTATACAATAAAGAAAAGAAAAAAGGTTTGAACCAGAAAATACCATTTCATGGCCGAGAGGAAAAGTGAGTTGCAACCCCACATTTAAAGATATCAGTGACAAGAGTGTAAAGAACTTCCTCAGATCATATCTAAAAGCCACCCATGGAAACAGGCAAAAACTTCATAAAGGCCTAAAAATTTATAAGAAAACAAGTAAGAGGAGAAAAATCAAGAGAGAGCTCTCCTGGACATCAAGTTACAAGAAGCAGTAGTGTGGAACTATCATCAACCACTAACCCGTATATCAGAACTATGACCATTAAGGCCAGAGATCTTGAGACAGTTTACCACTCCTGCAAAACGTAATACAAAATAGTCACACTAAACACGCAGGAGATCTAGAACAGGGAACAAACCAATATCCTCAAAACAACTAAATGGAGTTCAATAAGTTTTTAGCCTTTTGGTATACAGTAGGTAGTAGGCAGCTACCAAACAGGGAGGTACAGTCAGTTCTGCTATAGCGCGATACTTGTGTTCTTGAAAAACATCGTGTTATAGAAATTCGCGCAATAGAAATAACAGGGCTTATGGAGAAAATAGGGTTAGGTGCAGATTACTCAAAATCGAAAAAAATTTAGTATTTAGCCTAACACAAAGGATAGCACAGTCTAAATAAATGTTCCATTCATATCTAATAATGAAATCATACAGTAAATGTAACACTTTACCTTGAAAAAACATGAATATAACTTGATGGGGGAGAAGGGTGATTTTGTGGTTGATAACATCGAGCTTCTCTTCAAGTGTTATAGCCTTTCTTTTACTATCATCACCGGGAATGCAATCACCAGAACGCTTCTTAGAGATATTCTTCTTTACCATATTCACAGTTAATACCACAAAATTGGAGAAATAGTAAGCAAAAATTGCGTTACAGCAAACAAGCGTTCGCGTTTTACAAATATCGTTCCTCTATTCATAAATCGCGTTAGAGTGAATTCGCGTTGTCAAAACACTCGTTATCGAAGAACTCACTGTACTACCACCTGGGAAGATATTGGAAGCATAATGTGTTGTCTAATGGTAGACCCTGCTGCCATATGGCATCACAAAAATTGTGACTAAAGTCCCAGGTTGCTCATCTGACTTTCTGCCTCATTTACACAGATGCAAGGTCTCAATTGTCTCTCTTACTATTGACAACACAAAATATATAACTTTCTCACTCTTGATCTATTCTATTCTTTCTACTCTTTTATTCTCCTATGATATCAGTTGACAATAATATAAAAGCGGAGGCCCCTTGGATGGGTCCCACTGGTTGGGAAGGTTGTGGACCCAAGGGCCGACCTGATCATCATCAAACTACTGGGGCCTCAACTGACATCACCGCAGTTGCTAGAGGATCGGCTTTTTTCACACTTAATTTTTCCAATATTCGCGGCCTGAAACCTAATTTTCCTTTTGTGGAGGACCATCTGTTAACCTCTTCCCCCGACCACTTACTATTAACTGAACTTAACTGACCAAAGCAGCTTCACCCAAACCTTTTCAAGTCTCCAACTACAACCTTTATATCTCTCTCCATTTCAAGGGAGGTGTATGCATCTACTGCAACACACGTTCCCCAATAGCTCGACTCACGGATCTTGAATCTTCTCTTTATGATGTCAACTGGCTCAAAATATCTCTACCAACTATGACTTTTTTTCTTTGTTTCCTGTAATGTTCTCCCAACTATTTGGATCTCTTTGATTATCTCACTTCTTGCCATGAGTCGTTGCTATCCACACACCCCAACACCAAGATCCTCTACCTAGGGGATTTCAGTGTACATCACAGAGAGTGGCTTGGCACTGTAAGGGATGACCCAGGTGGAGCTGAGGCACTCTCTTTTTCCTTACTTAATGATCTGGAGCAAATAATTAAATACCCTACACGTGTTCCTGATCAACACAATCAACTTGCTAACATTCTTGATCTTTGTTTTACCTCTAACCCCTAACACTATTCATACTCAATTTCTGCCCCCTTAGGGTTTTCTGATCACAATCTTATTTCTATTAAATCAAAATGGGCACGACCACCTCCCCCACCCCTCTCTAAATGCCAACTATGGCACTATCGGAGAGCAAACTGGGAATCCTTGTGAGAATTCTTCTCCGACTTTCCTTGGGATGAATGTTGCTTTTCCACTCGGGATGCCTCGGTATGTGCTGACAGCATTGCTGGGGTTATACAGGGTGGTGTGTGTGCATTTATCCCATCTTCTACCAAAACTTTCACTTTACAATCATGGTTTGATCGCTCCTGTTCTCTTGCATGTGGGGAGAGAGATAGGGCTTATCAAGTTATGAAACTATCTCCTTCTCCTATTACCCACTCTTCTTTCATTACTTCTAGGAATCGTTGTAAAGATATTCTTCGTAGGGCCAAGTGGAATTCTATAAAAAGAAAGACTGCTGTCCTGACTAACTCTTCTTCTAATAAATCATTCTGGTCCCTAACCAAAAACATCTGTAATAACTGCTGCACCCCCTCTTTTCCTCCTCTCTTCCAACCTGATAACTCTATAGCTAACTCTCCCCCTGATAAAGCCAAACTCCTTAGCACCTTATTCTCCTCTAACTCCACCTTAGACAATTCCAACTCTATCCCTCCTACTCCTGCTCCTCCTACTAAACCTATGCACTTTCCTATAATCTCCACTCGTAGGGTTGCTGGTGTGGTATCCCGGTTGGATGTGAGTAAGGCGCATGGACCGGATGGAATACCCCCTCATGTTCTGAGGGAGTGTGCTGAAATTCTCGCCCCTGTGCTTGCTCGCCTCCTTCATCTTTGCCTTAAAACCCAAACTTTTGCTTCTTCTTGGAAGGATGCCTTGATTCAGCCCATCCCAAAGAAGGGTGACCATTCTAATCCCTCTAACTATTGCCCCATTGCCCTAAATTCATCCCTCTCTAAGATTTTCGAAACTATCTTATACTCTCATTTTCTCCGTCACCTTGAACGCTTTTCTCTTTTGTCGGATCACCAGTATGGCTTTCGCCAGGCAAGATCTACTGGTGATCTGCTCTCCTACTGCACCCATCTTTGGTTAGGGTATTCTCTCTTAGGGGGAGGAGGGAGGGGGAGAAGGCAGAGGGGAGGAGAAGGCAGAGGGGGGGAGAGCGCTCCTGTCTCCCGTGACCTTCGTGAAATGCTTGCCAAATGGCTATGTAGTATTTTTATTCATTCCTCACATTTACGGAGGAATAGTACATCAGACCGAGGAGGGAAAAAGACGCCACACTAATCTGTGGATACTCTAAATTTAATGCCATGGTTGGTGAAATGGTATACAGAGTAAAAATTGTGGATCTGCAGTTTGCGAGTGTCAACTATATATTGAAAAATATGTGGTGAATGTTGCCAGCTGGGAAAGCATCCCCCCATAATTACATTGATTCTTATGGGGAAAATTGCTCAGATATATGCAAGTCCGTTATTCTCAATGACTTTTAGGAATGCATTCCTGTACTGTATATCAAATGCATGCAAAAGAAAACAAATTTGCAAAAATGCTGTGAAAAAAAAGGTAAGAAAAATTACTGTGGGTTGTTCACCCTCACCAATTTACAGCTATTTTCCTCCACTTGCATGGGTTAACCATGATTACCTGATGGCAGGTCTCCATGCTGAGTGGTCTCTTGCACCCTCTCTCCCTATATCATTCTTGGCCTACCTCCAGCTCTTCCCCCTCTTCATATTTAGACTCTTGAGCCAATTAGTCTCCTCCCTTCTCTCTACATACCCTAATGTACTTTATCAGCTTACATCTACACAAAACTTCACCAATACTCTCAATACCTAGCTGCCCTTCTAGCCCTGAACAGAGTTTCCTATCTTTCATTATCACATTACACATTCACTTCACCATTCTCATTGCAGCTTACTCAAGCCTGTGTACATCATCTTCTTTAACTGCCTATGTTTCACTGCCATACAACATTACACTTCTCACACTGATTGTAAATATCCTTCCTTTCAATAAAGGCAGGAACTTCTTCCAGCTACCTCTGACTCTTGCAACTGTGACTAGTTTCAGCACCAAGCACTGATCATGTCACGTAGGTAGCAGAATTCATCAACATAGTCCAGGGTTAAATCTCCAAAGTGAGTTCTCCAACCTTGCAAAGACCGCATGAATACCTGCACATACAGAACGCTAAAAAGTCAGCAACGTCCTGCAGTCTGCCATTTACACTGCTGTACCTCTTGTGTACCCCTTTCCACACTCACTACAAATTACTGAATTGTTGCCAACACCTTTCTTACATAAAGTACATGGCCCCCCCCCCTTTCTTTTTTACTTTCCACCATGGGTTTTTCACCCATGCCACTAAATCATCACCATCCTCATTTTACAGCCATTTTCCATGTTTGTGTGAGTTAGCCGCCACTAAATCAATACTGTACCGTACTTCTGATTTCACTAAATTCACTCTCAAGCCCTTTGACATTGTTCCATCCTTCTTTCTTTAATACTATTTGCTGTCAGAAGTTGGCCATATACAACAACTCCTGAAGTCCTATGATAAGTCTCTAGTGCCATAATAAACAAAAGGGGGCTCAAAATAGATCCTGATGAACCCCAACTTAAATTCCTCACCATTTACTCTCACAGTGGTTTTTGAGTCCTCATATAATGCCATTACCATTCTAACAAGACATTACTCGAGCCCTAACTTTCTCATTGCCCACTATACTAATTCATGTGGCACCCTGTCAAAAGCTTTCTCTAAGTCTACCTTTCATAAAGTGGTCCGACAGCTTTAGGCCCCTGTAGTTGTTGAATTCAAGTGCATTACCTTTACCCTTGTAAGTATTCATAACAACGCTCTTCTGCAAGTCAACTAGAACAGTACTCTCCATCATGAGTGCAGTAATCAATTCAGTCATCAATGGTCTAACAAGCCAAAAAATTATGACTTTAGGCAAAAAGTTACAAGGCAAAGGCAACTGGACTACCATTAATTTAGCACTCTAGTCCCAAAGTCCAATTCGCCTTTAGGTAATCATTAATCATCTTACCTTGGGCATGTTCTGGGAGATCTTCCCACAGGGAGTAGGAACATCTCTTATGAAAAAGGGTTTTTATCCTTATCTACAAACTAGTTCCTTCTTTTAGTGTCTTGGGGAGATACACAGGTATCCCTCATTTTACGAACATTCAAGATATAAAAATTTACTGATACTGTACAACTATTCATACACTTCTTTCTGACTACTGAAAGCAATTCTCTCTTACACAAATATGGTCCCTTAAAGTACTACTTTACAGTTGTTAGGTAGTTTTTTTGTGAACCTATTTCATTTTTCCATGTAAGATATTGGGGTTTCCTTGTCATTAGAGAACTAATCCCTATTTTTCCCATATGTTATGTTATTCAAGATGAGAACATTCACCAACAAATGGTTTTCAAAGAACCTAACCCATTCATAAAGTGAGGGATACCTGTATCTCCTCAACATAATGAAGTACTGTAGCTACATGTCAAATTGGCATGGCACTGGTTTTTGAACTCTAGATATACCTTAACCATTTTCTTTACACAAACACACAAAGGCTCCAAAACAATACTATACCAGTCTGAATACTGTACAGTACCTGAAATAACTCCTTAACAACATCTAACTTTCCTGGTTTTCATGCACAACATCAGTAAACTTCCCCTTCAGATTATACTGTACTGTATAGTACTGTACTTACATCAGTAACGATGGGAACCCACTTGTAAATCTTCATTGTGGTATCATGTATAGTTATCCACTTCTTCTCCCTGAAATATGGACAATGAAATAGACTAATTCTTGTAGCGCGATAAAACAACTAAGAAATATAAATAAATGTCAAGCTCTTCTTACTACAAAACATATGCTATCTGGAGTGCAGGCTGCTGCCTATCTTTGTCTTATACTGGAATACAGTACTGTACATTCTGCTGCATTAAAATAAAGTTCTGAACTATGTCCGACTTTAGTAGGTATGGACACGCTTGACAACACTTGACGGGATTTTGTTTATAAATAGAACAGCTGAAAATAGGAAAACACGTAACAAGATGAGTTTAAAGAACATTTGTGTACAAGGCCTGAATGTGACAAATGCTCTAAACAAAATGGTAAGGAAGGAAGCCGGAACATAAGCCACACCTCCTCAATATCACAGTACAGTACAGGTACATGTAGAGATATGAGGAAAAAAGTGTAATACAGTATTATTCAACAGGTTAAACACTAAGCAAGGAGTCAGAATCCAACCTTTCAGAAAACTTTCATAAATCCAGACCACATAATAATGCAGAGGGAAGGGCACAAGAAACTCAATAGCTAACTTTGGGTAGAGAGAAAGTACATCTTCTCTAATTTCAGTGCACAAACAATTGTTTTTGAAAAGGAACTAACAAAAATCACAAAAACCTCTCATGTATACAGTACAGTACAGTCTCTCCTCGACTTACGACATATTCGACTTACGACAACCCGGACATACGACCGCCATGGTCGTATAAAATATTTTTCACATTACCCTGTACGTATTTTCGAGTCCCGAAACGTTTGGTAGTACTGTACATGTAATGTTACCCCGTACGACAGCGTGGGCTGGGCCGCCTCGCGGTGTACAGCATTCACGCCGTAGCCCACTCAGTTGGTGTTTGGCCGTCGTTGTTGTTGCTAATGATCGCGCTGTGTACCGACAAATTTTTGTTTGTAATTCCCTTTAAAATAGCTGGCAAGCGTAAAAGTGAGAGTTCTCGTGGTGCTGAGAAGAAAAAGGGACAGTCAATTACTTTTGAGATGAAAATGAAAATAATAATGCAATATGAAAATGGAAAACAGTAGCAACCATTTCACGCGACCTTGGCTTCTCTCACTTGACAAGATCATCAATTTTTAAGGACAAGGAACAAATTCGTGAGGTAGTGAAAGGATCAGCACCTATAAAGGGAACAATAACAATGAAAAAAAGACAAGGTCCTATTCATGAGATGGAAAAATTACTTGTGATGTGGATGGAAGATCAGCTGCCAAAGCGTGTTCCCTTAAGCCTTCTAACCATACAGACTAAGGCAAGAAGCCTTTTCGAAATCCTGAAAGAGCAGGCAGGAGAGGAGTGCGACCAAAACTTCACAGCAAGTCATGGGTGGTTCCAAAGGTTTAAGAACCGTTACAGTTTGCACAGTGTAAAGGTGAGTGGAGAGGCAGCAAGTGCTGATGTGGGTGCTGCCGAAGGAGGAGCTAGATCGTGTCATCGTGGAGGGAAATTATTTGCCTGAGCAAATATTTAATGTGGATGAAACTGGCATATTCTGGAAGTGCATGCCAGAACGGACATACATCCACAAAGAGGCGAAAACCATGCCAGGATTCAAAGCACTCAAGGACCGAATCACACTTCTGTTGGAGAGGAATGTAGCTGGTTTCAAGGTAAAACCCTTCATGATATATCATTCAGGGAACCCCAGGGCTTTTAAAAGTGTCAGCAAGCACACACTGCCAGTGTTTTATCGCAGTAATAAGAAAGGATTGGTTCCCGAGTTGTTTCATTCCACGAGCCAAGGAGTATTGTCTGCAACAAGGGGTTGCGTTCAAGATTTTATTAATTTTAGATAATGCTCCGGGACACCCATCACACCTGGACGACCTGAACCCTGATGTTAAGGTAGTATACCTTCCGCCTAACACTACCTCTATCATCCAACCCATGGACCAAGGTGCTATTGCTGCTTTTATAGTTTATTATTTACGTACGACCTTCGCTCAGGCTATTGCTGCAACTGAAGATGAGAAAACGATCAGAGAGTTTTGGAAGGACTACAGCATTTTGCAATGTACAAAGAACATAGTTGCAGCATGGGATGAGGTTACAGGTCAGTGCATGAATGGAATATGGAAAAAGGTCCTGAAAAGATATATGAACAGTTTCAAAGGATTTAATGAAGATAATGCAATTTCTGAGATTAGCAACAAGATAGTGTAGATGGGTCAACAGCTGGAGTTAGAAATTGATAATGAAGATGTTGAGCAGTTGGTTGAAAGTGTAGCAGAAGAGCTAAGTAATGAGGATCTTATTGAACTGGATGCACAGAAAATTGCAGAGGAAGAAGAGAGACAAAATGTAAAAGAAGAACCTGCACCCCACAAAAAGTTTTCAGTGAAACAAATGGCAGAGGCATTTGCTACTATTAATAAGGGGATGCAAATGTTTGAAAAAATGGATCAAAATGTTGCACGTTTTGCAAAAGTTGAGAGACTGATCCAAGATGCACTTGCTTGCTACAGGGAGATTTACAATGAAAAGAAAAGGCAAACTGTGCAGTCTAAATAGGATATATTTTTTAAGAAGTCCCCCACTGCTGTCTCCTCACACCCCACCACTGCTGCCTCTTCACTCCCTAAAGATGATCCAATACCTTCAACAAGCAATATGTTCGCCTGTCTCAAGAAAACGAACTTGATGACCCACCCAGCCCTGTCTCCTCCTCTGCTTCATCCAATTAATGTAGTCTACATGCTTAATTAAAAAATTATTGAGGCCCCGTGTGCATTCAGCTGACTACATTAAAGGTAAGTGCACAGTAACACTTTATTATTTTTTCATTATTGATTATTTTTCTGTACTGTATTTCACTTTAGAATGTCTATGTAATATTTTCGCCTTTTCGACTTACGACCTGGTCTTCGGGACAGAACCCCATCATAAGTCGAGGAGAGACTGTATATACATATGAGCATTTTATCCCACTATAGTCATAAATATTGTAAATGATGTACTGTATACAGAATGCCCTGACAATTCACAGAATTTTAATTCACGGTCCTCGATTATTTGCGGATGACACCCTAGATGTACCCAAAAATGTCTGCAGTTAGTTTTAAAGTTGCCAGTATTTTCGCGGCTGGGACAGGGAGCCATTCGTTCTAGAGACAGTAATTTCTTTTACCTGTATTGTGTATTGTGTATATGTGTGTGTGTTTGTGTGTAGACACACACACACACACACACACACACAAAACACATACGAAATTAGAAAAAATGTGAGAGTCTACCCTCAAGTCAACTCCATGATTTTTTATTAAAATTAGTTCAACTTTAATAACAAAGCACGGAGTTGACTTGAGGGTAGACTCTCACATTTTTTCTACATTTCGATACATTTTGTTGTCTTGTTTCTGATTATTTGTGAGAGGATTTTACCATTATTTGTATGTGTTTTGTGTGTGTGTGTGTACACACACACACACATATATACAATACAGGTAAAAGAAATAATTATCCTAAGGGCAAACATATAAAGGGCATGCTGTAATTGTATATGTTGTAAATATTCACTAAGAAATAAGAAATAAAAGTGGGAAAATATAACAGTAAGCATAACTGAGTATAGTAAAAGTAAAATATGATATCTCTGAGGTAGCTGCTGATCATGAAACAGGTTTGGATTCATTAACAAGTTGAAGCCACTACCTTATTCTAAACCCAGTCTAAATGTTATGTACACAGACATTGACAATTTCCACAAAAAGAGAGCATAGTTTTAAATTCTACTGAAGACCCATCAACCTGATTTGGTAGGTGTTACAAAAGTGTTGTATAAAAACAGGAGGATTGATCTAGATGAATGTGAGTTTAATATCAATGGCTAAGAATCAATTTTTAACCTCTCTGAGACATCATGTAAGAGGGGTGCATAAAATTATAGTACACAGGTCTCAACTCTAGCCATCTTTTTATAATGACAATATTGACAAGAGCAACGGAAGAACAGTATACTAAATGACTTTCATAACCCCCCTGCAACTCTTTTTTGTGCAAATTCTGAGAGACTCGCTATAAAGGTGAGCAAACACCAAAACCATTGGACCTCATCATAACCAATGAGGAAGGTATGGTGGCCAAATTGATAGATTTAACTCCCTATGGCACTAGCCATCATGTGATATCCTTCAGAGTTACCTGTACTGTACTGTACTACAGTATTATTGTTATATATTACATTACAGGAGTAGGTTTAGGTTCAAATTATTACAATGGTATCTACAACAGAATGTGGGGGTAAACAAGGAGCACTGACTGGCATAACTTACTGAACAATAAGGATGTAGGTTCTGACTAAAAAAATGACATTAGGTAAAGTTTCCACCGTGGCTTATCGTATGGATCTGTATGGAGCCACGACAAATTTTGTCACACTGTCTATCACAACTGCCAAGATATTGTGCTCCTTACATTGCCTCTTAGTTAAGGTTAGGTTAGTTTAGGCAAGGTTTCTTGAGAATGATTCAATTCTTGGCCATTGCAGGATAAATTGATAAGATTTGGTTGTGACCCCATAAAGCTCATTACAAATAGCCATGGTGTTTTTATGTAGTTGATAGCAGTATATTCTATGTTATATTGGTTCATTTTATAAATGAATATTCTCAAACCTTAGTGACTGATTCCACCAGAATCTTCAGGCAACTGCTAGTATTATCGAAATACAAGCATACCTCGATTTATGAAAGGGTTTCACTAAAAACTTTCATAATTTTTTTCTTTTTTACAAATATACACATTTTCCCAGACTCCCATTCTAAAAGCAAATACATTCCTAAAAAAAAACACCAAACATTAAAATACCACAAAAATTTTGGTGTACACAATTACAAAATAATAATAAAGAACAAAAGTTAAGGATCCGACACAGACCTCCTTCCCTCGACATAGGCACCTCTAGTGGGTGGGCATTAGGTAAATAATAAGTGAAATATCAAGCAGTACATTAGAACAAAGTAA